TCCACACTCTCCCACTCATCAGTTCATGTGTTGATTATCTCTTGTGAGATTGGGAGTGATCCTAGTTGCATTTGCTTAGAGTTTGAGCATCTAGTAGCACTAGCGATCGTGTGAGCTGTGGATATTCTTGTTACTCTTGGTGGTTGCTGCCACCTAGACAACTTGGAGCAGCAGTGATCGTTGAGCAGAGGGTGATGATTGTCTCCGGCTCAGATCGGTGATTTGTGAGGGGTTCTTGTGCCTATTCTCCACGGGAGCCATAAAAGACAACTCTAGTAAACTGCTCGTGACTTGTGTACCCTCATTTTGTGTTGGTTCTTACGGTGCCCTTGTGTAGGGCTAGACGTGTGATGCTTATTAGCGCGTGAGCCACCAAATGAGTATATCGTCACAACGAGAACGTAGATTGCCGACAAGCAATTGAACCTCGGAGATAAATCTTGTGTCAATTATCTCTTGGTATTCTTATTGGACACTTGCCCGACTCGATATATCATCCTCTCACTTGCATTACATTCTTTGAAATACTTGTGTAGTGGTAGTGCTTGCTTATCTTGCTAGTTGAGTAGCCTAGTTGTATTTAATAGTAATAGGTCCATGCCCGTGCGTTGCTACGGGTTTAAAAATCCATAACAGCCTATGTGTATTTGCTGGTTAACGCATATGGGGAAAAAAACAGTTCATCATGGTTCCCAATTGCCGTATAGTGTAGTTGATGAAGCACGTGCAATCTAATCCGTGCCAAAAAGAATTATAATCATTCTTGCATTCGTTAATTTAGTCATAAGTGTAGAAGATATGGGTAAACTTTCCCACACAGTATTTCCATGGAGTGCTTGAAGCACGAGACACTCCTTGGGTTCATGCCGATTTGCCCGACTTGCCGAGGCACTGCTCGGCGATGCTAGGCAGCTCGCTCATGGCAGCCAGTGGGCACCACCCAACCAGCTGTGAGTCCATGATGGGTCAGAACCCGGTGCCAGCTGTGAGTCAATGATGGGCCGGAACCCGCTGCTGTTAGCATCTTGTGCTCCTCTGCCCTGATGCATATGCTCACAATAAAGAGATATATAAAAAAAATTCAGGTAAAAGATAATCATTAACAACTATCTTATTCATAATAAAATCAGTAAGCTAAGTTCCACTCAAAAGAGATTATTCTTATATATGCATTCCCTTCAAACTATAACAAATCATATAGGAATCCATCGTTAATAAATGATACTTGTTCTGTTTGTTCCTTTATTCTTTATGCACATCTGATGGTGAACTCATGGTAATCTTAGAACAGTACAGTTCTTGGAACATTGAGAAAACTCACCTAAACAAGATAACTTGAATTGTTATGGGCTTGTGGCAGTACATAGCTAGCTAGATTAAGAGTTTTTTTTTTAACGAAAACCGTGGGGAAAACACCCCTGCAGTGGCATTATTAATTAATTAAAGAAGGACCCAAAGGTTACCGCAAATATTGTATACTGAAACGCTACTTTTAAATATTTTTATGGATGTTGAAACAATTCGCCAGGCATGCACTTGTACCTAGTCTGTGAGACTGACCCTCATCATCCCTTGAGGCGCTGAGCATGCACTTGTACCTGGCACCTGAATACCAGTTAGGAAGTAGAAATTCAGAAACACAATCAGCATCAATTAGCCACGATCAATTTAAATGGAAAAGGAAAAATCATTTTTTCACAACATGTGCAATGGTATGGAAAGTAGGACACACAACACAAGAATTCAACTCAATCATAGCTAAAATTTTCACCATCTATACATCCCTTATGTACAAATATTGCAAGTGTAGCCACCAGTTCCCTGACGGTGACCACTCGGCAGCAGACATGGCTCAGAGTACAGGAAAAAAATTGCTACACTATGCAAGTAGAATTTTATATGGAACTGAACTTTATGGTAATCCAAGACCAAATTGTAAATGGCTAATCATTAACATTGCAGATGATCAACAACGTGATTGAACTGGATTTTTTTACTTCAGCTGCAGTACAAGAGATGTAGTGGCCAGCCCAACTTGTCCTCGAGATGATTGGGATTATGATATTACCACTTCTGTCTTTGTCGAAGCAAGTAAAAGCTGTCATCGAGTGCACTTCCCATTCTATTTCATTAAGAGGCAGAGCTGCAGTGATATTGTCTTTATCAGCCTGCGAAAGATTTAGAAACTTATAAACCACTGATTGAAAAATGCTGAGTGACATACTAACAACAGGCCATGTGTCAACGAGACAATATCTCATGTTAACACTTCCATTATATAATTATTTTTCTATCGTCCAAATTCAGTACCACATCTCCTTAAACCTGCTATAAGATCAGCAAAAGTAACTGCAGCTTTTAACATTCAGCACCTTGAATAGCTGTCTTAACCCAGCAATCTCATCCTTGGAAAGCTATTCAGCTATCACCTGGAGCCACACAAGTGTCAAAAAACAGATTAAATTCAACATGTAGTGCATATCCCAGTGTCTTGAACTGAACACCAAATCCTAGATTTATGAATAGAAATGTCGAAAAGTACAACATAATTGTTCAACCATTAAAAACATTGATCCTTTGTATTGGATCCCCAAGTCTATGAAATTAATAATCTACGGCATATACATGTTAATACGGCAAATGATTTTGGCTCACCTCTTGAACTTACATGGTTACTACGACCTTCCGCTCTGCTAGCTAAGTTCTTCCTTCCTCCTCTTTCCTTAAAATATACTGTAACTGTAAATGCCTGATCAACATATAATAATACTTACATTTTTTTTGCAAGGCAAGATATTCTTTCGTATTTCTACCTTGATACATGCTGATCGTATGGAACACGCCAAGGGTCCTTTCATATTTCTTGTCTAGCCTGCATACAGTGAACACCAGTTAACACTATCATAATCCAGCTTTAGGATCAACTCTTTCTCTTTTGTTCTGATCTCATCATTAAAAACTTGGAAGCGTGTTTCCTCTGAAATCAGCTCAAATCAAAATGCTCAACCTCCTTTCATGCAGATAGGCAAGATAAGTGGCTTCAGCTTTTCATCCCAAATTGATAGTTCATATTCAGTCAGAACAATTTGAAAACCGGACTGCGTATACATACCTGAGTTATCCGTGGAAACGGAGAATAATGATTTGTGCTTAATCGACCAACTGTGTCAAGAGTTAAAGTTCAATTCTCACAGGCGAAGCTATCTGATATGGCTAGTTCTTTCTTCTTCTCCTTACCAAACTTCCTTCTATCTTACAGATCTATCAGACAACAGAAAAAAGAAATTTCGCATTAAAAAAAAGAAATTTCAACAAATCCAGAGCAGAAGCTGCACGCATTCGAAAGGACAACTTTCTCAAATCTATATTTTGTGTCACAAGGACTTTCTCAAATCTATATTCTGTGTCACAAGAGAGATTGAAATTTAGAAAAATAAGAAGCTACACTGTAGCTCATTCTAATGCATTTAGAGTTTTGATTTCTGACAATCCTTCCCCTCTCCTTTGTTATTCTTCTTCATTTCTTTTCTTTTTCGAGAATGTCATAGAACATTGGATTATCATGCCATGTCATTGTTGGAAGTTACTGAACTTCACTCTGAGTATGATCAATAAGGCATACAATGTGACTGCAGGTAATTATGAAAATAATAATATTGAGCTATAAGAGCATCCACAAATATAGCAACGCTCGGCATTGATGAATATGGTGAGCTGAACACAATCTACTTTGGTAAAAGGCATGCATTATACAGTTTGCATCAATCTCCTCTCATGTCAGGATTACTGTTACATAATTTCCTTTAATGCAATTCAGAGATTGTCTCATTAAAGCGGCTATCAAGCTCTTGGAGTAGCCAATCTATAACTTCACTGAAACAGTCCACTCCATAGTGATGCTTTTATGCAATTCCAGATTTTTTTCCTAGATTTTTTGGATCAACATATGCATCTTCCATTTCCAATCTAGCAATATCATGCATGTCACAAAACTCATTCACCTCATCATCTAATAATTTGGCCCATCCATCTCTTCTAAGATTATCCAAATGCAATCTATTTGATTTCACACATTTAATGGCATTTACAATACCATCTAGCTGATGTGCTTCTCTTAAATACCTTTCCATGACGTATCTATGATTTGCAAAAATAGTAAAATTTAGTTGCTTGCTGTCATAAATATAAATATGGACAAATAACCAAAACTCCTGAAATCAAATCCTATTTAGCCACTTAATTAACTTGATGGGAATTAAAATAGAAGAGCTAATCTTTTTTCTCCTTACCTTGCTTTTCCTTTCTGATTAACGTGATGGAGACTGGAGACGATCAGATGTGTGGGTGTGGGTGCTGCTAGTCGATCCGTCGGTTGCTGCAGCCCACTGCCCACTGAGGCATCGGCGACCAGTCAGCAAGGCAGCAGTCGTCGCTGAGGTACGCGGCGCCCTTCGCCGTGGTACGACGTCGCGAGCAGCTCCTAGTCGCGACCTCGGCGTGGCGGCGTCCGATGGAGACGAGGCACGGCGACGTTCGAAGGTTGAAGGAGCGAAGGCGGTTTCCGGCGACGGGACAGGGCCGGACAGGGGCAGGACGGGACAGAGCCGGACAGGGGCAGGACAGGGCGGTGGCTGGGCGGCAAGGCGGCGGATGGGGCCGGAGCGTGGCGAAGATGTGGGATGGTGGTGGTTTGCGAGCGACGTCGTGGGAAGAAGCGGCGTGCAGATGGGAGCGGAGCTCTGAGGCGAGGGCAGAAAACCGTCGGGGGTGCGAAGACAGCGCGCGATAGAAAGGCGTGCGGGGAGATTAGTTAGGGGGGGCGATTAGTTTAGCGGAGACGATAACATCCGGGTCGTTTTAGTTGTAGAGATTCGTAGTATAGCTGCATTTTTGTGACAGGCGTTCCTGGCAGATCCAACCACTAAGCCACTACATTGCTGTTCCTCTCCTTTCCCCTCCCACTGCTGCAGTGCTGCTAACTGCGGCGGCCTCTCTTGGTCATGGCCCTTCTTCGGCTCGTCTTCCTCCTCTGCCTCTTCAACATCGTGTTCGTGTCCTCCGCAGCGCGGAATCTCGTAACCAGCCTCCCGGGTTACGAGGGCGCTCTTCCATTCCGCCTAGAAACAGGGTCCGTGTGAGAGCGCATCGATCAATCCTTGTCATTACCCAGAGCATGCATCCTCCATTTTGCTCCAATTTGCATTGATTTATAGCAGATTTGATGTGAGCTTGTGTCATAGACGTGAGCGTGGACGACGACAATGGGGCCGAGCTGTTCTACTACTTCATCGAGTCGGAGTCTGATCCCCGCCGTGACCCCGTCCTTCTCCGGCTCACCGGCGGCGACCGCTGCACCGTCTTCAGCGGCCTTGCCTTTGAGATAGGTGAGCAATTTTGTTTGAATTGAAAAGGACTGAATCTTGTTTCCTTCATCCCATTTTTGCTTTCTTGTCCTCCAGCTAATCTTGCATTGTAGTGCAGGGCCAGTGAAGTTCATCAGGGAGCCCTACAATGGAAGCCTGCCTCGGCTAGAGTACAATCCCTACTCCTGGACCAAGGCAGCCAACATCCTATTTGTCGATTCGCCGGTTGGCGCCGGATTCTCCTTCTCCAGGGATCCTAAGGGCTATGATGTTGGGGATCTATCTTCCACACTGCAGCTCAAGAAATTTCTCAGTAAGGTATGGACTGTGGACAAACAAATTAAAAATACCTTTTAGAAGATTTCATATTTTGTTTCAATCAAATAGCTTATATATTTTCTATATGTCGTAGTTGTTTCAACCAAATAATAGCTTACACCTTTTCCACAGAACATACTCACAATAGCTTTTTTCCTAACTCACAACAGTTTTCTACAGTTCACAGCCAAATAGACTCTTAGTATTTGTGCTAAACTTGTTCATAAATGCAGTGGTTCGACGAGCACCAAGATCTCCTTACGAACCCTTTCTATGTTGGAGGGGATTCCTACGCTGGAAAGATCATCCCATATCTCGTGCAGAAGATTTCAGAAGGTAAGGTACAGTTTGTACTCGTCATTGTTGAATTTTTGATGCATGAACAAATTTTCTGAGTATTTCAAACTCGTACCGTACCACTAATTGAAAACATTGTTTCACGTTGAAAATAAGCAACAGATTTATTATACTACTTCGATGCTACACTACAAATAAGCTATCTTAACATATAATTTGAAAAACGGATAACATTGTGTATTTAACACGACTATGGTCGTATCATGCTTGTGAGATAGAGTAACGAGTGTTCTTTATTTCAGATATTGAAGGAGAAGTCAGGCCTTCTCTTAATCTTAAGGTGACATTCATTACACAATACTATTTTCTTTGCTGTTGAACACCGGAGAGTATAGCTTTCAAAGAGTTACTAAACAGATAAAATTTGTAGCTAAAGCTTTATAAAACATTGTCTTAAACAATGGTTCAAGCTACGATATTTTTAATATGGGTATTGCTACACCTGGGGCAAAATATTTTTCAAATTATGGGACAGTTCCACAAATTCCACCGTGGAGCAGCTTAAAAAAAACTAAAGTTTCTGAAGCATCTTTCAACTTTACCTTTTTCTGAAGTAGAGTTTATCGAGCTGCACATGTTTGGCTAAAAAATATGGAGCGGAACAGTTCCAAACATGGCCTATATGTCATAGCCTGGCTAGCAGCTTTGGAACGGGATTGAAGAATGGCTGCTCTTAATATTTCGTTGTCTGATGGTGTCCTTATCCTGATGTACTTGAATCAGGGCTACCTTGTAGGAAACCCTTCTACTGGTGAGAGCATTGACGACGATTCCCGAGTACCATATGCTCACGGAGTCGGAATCATTTCAGACCAATTGTACGAGGTATTTAACTAATCTCGTTTCTCTGTCATGCATGTGCAGTGCACGTAACTACTAAAGATTTATTTATCAGTTTGTTCTCCATGTGCATGCATGTGGCCGATCCAAAGACTATAATGGAGCACTGCCAAGGACAGGATTATAAAAACCCCGGGAATTTAATTTGTGCTCAGTCTTTGATGAGATTCAACGAAGTAAGCAAACTAGCAATATTAGGCCACGTTCTGTCATGTGCTCCTTAGAGTTTTAAATTATTGTCATTGGTAAAGCTGACCACTTTGTAATAATTTCTCCAATATTTGTTTCTTTATCTGATGTAAACTTCTTAATCGTGGGCAGCTAATTGATGAATGTTCGAGACCGCATATTTTGTATAAAAAAATGCATTTACGTCTCTCCTGGAAAAAATGATGAATCTGATGAAACCCTAGAGTTCGAACAAGTGATGGAGATACGGATGACTTCCCGATTAGGATAGGACTACATTAAGGGTCAGCTTTGAGCCCTTATTTGTTTGCTTTAGTGATGAATGAGGTCACAAGAGACATACAAGGGGACATCCCTTGGTGTATGCTTTTCGCGGACGATGTAGTGCTAGTTGATGAAAGCCGGACATGAGTGAATCAGAAACTGGAGTTATGGTGGGAGACTTTGGAGTCCAAAGGTTTTAGACTCAACAGAACTAAAACTGGGTATATGAGATGTGACTTCGGCACTACTATTCGGGAGGAGGAAGATGTTAGTTTGGAAGATCAAGTAGTGCCTAGGAAGGATACCTTTCGATATTTAGGATCAATGCTACAGAGGGACGGGGACATTGATGAAGATGTTAGCCATAGAATCAAAGCAGGGTGGATGAAGTGGCGGCAAACGTCTGGTGTCCTATGTGACAAAATGGTACCACAGAAGCTAAAAGGTAAGTTTTATAGGACGGCGATTAGACCTGCTATGTTGTATGGTGTAGAATGTTGGCCTACGAAAAGACGACATGTTCAACAGCTAAGTGTCACGGAAATGCGTATGTTGCGTTGGATTTGCGGTCATACAAGAAGGGATCGAGTTCGGAACGATGATATACGTGATAGATTAGGGGTAGCGCCAATTGAAGAAAAGCTTGTCCAACACCGGTTGAGATGGTTTGGACATGTGCAACGGAGACCCCAAGAGGCACCGGTGCGTAGTGGAATCCTAAGCCAGGATAGTAACGTGAAGAGAGGCAGAGGAAGACCGAAGTTGACTTGGGTAGAGGCAATAAAAGGAGACTTGAAAGGATGGAATATATCCAAAGACTTAGCCTTAGATAGGAGTGCTTGGAAGACATCTATTCATGTGCTTGAACCTTGATTGCTTCTGATGGGTTTCAACTCTAGCCTACTCCAACTTGTTTGGGACTTAAAGACTTTGTTGTTGTTGTTGTTGCTGCTGCTGCAAGAAGGATACTAAAGACTGAAATCGAAGGACTAAAACGCCCACCACCTCGTCCTCCCATGGATTGTCAGGTAAGTCTCATAACCCGTTTTGGTTCCTCCTAGAGGATCTTGTTTTATTGTGTGGTTTGTATTATAAATTCTTCTAAGTAAAAGTTGATCTTTGTGTTAGAATATATTGAGATATCTATAGATATGGTAGGTTAGCATCAAGTAATTCTAGCTTGCCTTATCTTTAAGCAGTGGCGAAGCTAGAAAAAATTAGAAGGGGATACACTTACCTTGTGGATGCATAGACTTGGCTTCGAAGACTAGGATTGATGGTGCAAAGGATAATTGTGAAGTCTAAGGACACTATAGAGTGAATGTAGGCTTGGTGTTTTGAGAAATTCGTTGTGGGTTTATTTTTCCTTTGGTCGTACTATTAAGGGGCAAAGGGTCCAAGGTATTCATCTTAAGGGAGTCAAAGCGAGAGCATTTGGATATACAAGAGGCTAACTCCCAGTCAAGATCATGATGGTAAGTGGCCTCATTGAAGTGGTTTCAAGTCAAGGATCTCAAAGAAGTTGAATTGGTCGAGAACAAACTTGAAACAGGCTAAAAAACAGCGCTGAAGTATACACTAGAGAATAGGCTTAAACCCGGAAGGATCATTCGACAATATTGTTCCCTGGGTAGAAATGACTTTGTTCTAGGAATAACAAAGTGTTCACCGTATGATCCAGTGTGCCTATGTGGCAAATGGCAGCCTGCCTACGTGGCTTCTGTATATGGGGTGAAGTTCAACTTGACTTAGTGACAAGTTGGCAAGGTTATTAGCTAGAGTACGTTGTATGATCTAGTGGAGACTTAGTGACTCCTCAGTGAATAACCTAATAAGCCTAACTTGACTCTGTACAAGCTTGGTCAAGTCTCTACTGTGCACATGATTTGATGTGATTGTGTGACACACCATCATATGATAGAGCAAGGAATATGTAACACCCCGGTGTTATGCCTACATTTAGGCACTACAAATCATGCATATCATGCATCATCAAGCATCCTAATCATACATGCATAATCTTGCATATAATAACTGAAACATTACTTCGAAACATACGAAATATGTTTGTGAAACGTAAATGATGCATACATTTATTAGAGTTGTTTTGCTCTGATTCTTGCTTGCTAGGTTAGTAGAACATGTTTGGCTGCTATTGTAAATCATCTAGCAATGTTTAGTTCAATTTTTGGAGCAATGTGTGTATTCAAATTAATTCAAAATTTGGCTTCAAAAATAAATTCCAAAAATTAGGGTTTTGAGCTAAACGTGAACTTTGATCTTTCAATTCAAAATCTAGAAAGAATTTGGCTGTGGTCCTAAAAGCAAAGTTGTAGAGAATTAAATTCTAAACAACTTTCATTTTTGGTACATTTTCAAAAGAGGTCATTTTCTTGCTCAAAATAATATTTGAAAGATAGCATTTAAAAATCCCTTGAAAATACAAATGAAAAAGGATTTTTCATTTTTCATGAGTCAGCCGCTTTCGGCCCAGACCCATAAGCCCGGCCAGCCAAAGCCCCAGCGCGCCTCGCCTCGCCCGGCCCAGCAGCGCGCTCGGCCCGGCCTGCCTCGCCTTGGCGCCGCGCCATCCCCATTTCTTTCGCCGCGCCACGCCGCGACCGCGGCAGAGAAATTCCGCCGCGTGGCGACCCCGCGCCGGCGTCGCCCGCCGCGCGTCAGCCGCGGCCTGACACCGCGCCCACGCGCCCGCCTTCACCTGCTGGTGCCCGTGCGCTCGCTCACTCCCGCCCGCGCTGCCTTCCTTCTCCTCCAGAGCCGAGAGCCTCAAGCTCTGCCCTCGCCGCGCCCACGCACCCGCCGGCGTGATTCACCGCCGGTGCTCCTCCACGGCCAGCAATCAAGCACCAGCAGCTCCGCCTCGCTCTCCGGCACCTGGTGCTCGTGGTTGTGCCGTCGTTTGAGCCGAGTGGCGCTTTTTCAAGCTTCGCCGCCGTCGTCCATGGCGCTGTGCGTGCTTTCGGCCGCCGTGGGCGCCCTCTTCCTCCCTTCTCGGTCGTGCTTAGTATTTTGCTTCGTTTTCGCCATGGCCTCGCGAACCTCCTGCGCTTCGCTTGCTTGCTATTTGCCGTGGCCGGAGATGGCCGCTGCCTCGTCGTGGAAAGCCGTCGCGCCACAGCCACAAGCCGGCGAAACCCTGCTTCGACCGACCCGGTAGGGCCGGCGAAAAAGCGACCGTGGGCGAAAGCCTTTGCCCGCCCGCCAGCGCTCCTCCTCGGCAGCTTGGGGCGCATGAGAGGGCTGACCATGGGCCATTTGTTCCCTTGGCCGCCCAATGAGTGTTTTAAATGAATTGTTTTCAATTTATTCATTATTATTTGAAAAGCAGAAATGGTTTGCAAAATAATTGGATACTCAAAGTTGCTCCAAATTTGTTGAAACAAATTTTGCTAGGTTCCTTATCATCAGATCTACTTGGGAAAAATTGTGCATGTCATTTTTGAGATACTTTTCTATAGGATTTTATTTAATCTTGAATATTGCTGATAACTTGAAAATATGTAGAAAAATATATAGGCTTCAGAAAAATATGATTCCAAGTTTGTTAATCTTCTTATGTCATGTACTTCCTAGGAAAAATATGTTTCATGCATGTGCTGTGGGAAAAATTTGAGGTGTAGTTCAAGTACCTTAGATGGCTGATTTTTGTTATTTTTGCTAGAGAGCAAAATTTGTATAAAACATGCATGTGGTAATTTTTGTACAGTCATTATATACCATGAAGAACCTAGGAAAATATTAATTCTGTTGTTTGACACTTTTCATAGTACAAAGTAATTTCATGCTCATTTTTATGCTATAGCTTGTCATTTTGTGTAGGATAGTTTACTTATCCAAATGCCATGAAATTTTTATGGTAGTCTGTTTAGGGTAGTATTATGCTACTGTAATTTTCTCAGATTTTTAGGAGCATCAGAAATATAGGTTGCTATTCAAACCTATTATTAATTAGGGTTTAAGCAAGTGTTGCCTTAAGTGTGATTAAGAAATTAGTAAAGCTTTGGTGTATCTTTGAAGCATTTAATAAAATATGTTGACTTAACATATTGGTAGTAGAAGAGAATGCAGTAGATGACATGTGCTTGTAGCATAGTTTCTTGGATGATGTTGTCTACCTTGCCTTTCGACATATTCATTGCATTCATCTCCTTGATGCACCGATTGCATAGGCACTTACACGCATTGCATCATACGGGATCGCAAACCGAGAGCCCAGTCGTCATTCGAGGAGCCCGAGGAGCAGTTCGAGTGCAGTGGCGAGGAAGTGCGAAGTCGACGAGGAGGACGTTGAAGAACTTCCGAGTGCCCGATCACCGTCAAGAGCTCCTTCGAGAGAGGCAAGCCCGGAGCATCTTTCTCCCGGTTTGCAATGATTTCGTTAAATGCTTTACTTTAAATTGATGCATTACGTTCAGGAGTTGTTTGCAACCGTTCTTTGCATTATACCTTGTTTACCTTTGTTATACTATATCCTTGTTACCTGGTATCCATGATGAGTCAATGCTTAGGTGGCTTAGACCGGTAGAAGTCGGGTGATTTCTGTCACTGCGAGCTATAGG